CATGTATCACTTTCCCTTCGCGCCCGCACCCGCCATTGCCTTCCTAACACCTCCGGGGCCCGGCTCCCCTCCCCCGGCACGGAGGGAGGGAAGGGGCGGGGGCCTAAGGTCAGCTCACCCCCCAGAAATGCCAGGGTCAGGCAGAACACCAGGCTATGAACACTCCAGCCCCAAGGAGACCCGGCACAGGCACCGGCCGCCTGAGGTGCAGACAAGGGGCATCCTCCCATTGTCCTGCTCCGGCTGGGCACAGGAGAGGGAAAGACAGATAGCAGGGTTCAGCCCACTGACATTTCTTAAGCGCCTGTCAGGAATTTCAGAGTATAACCTTTGCTCTGGGTTTTTATTACTTGCCCCTTCTGACCAGGGGAGAGGGCATGATGCAGTGTGCACACAGCTCTGGGCTGGGCCTGCTCCTCTGGAGCTGGTGCCAAGGTCCCTGGCAGCTCAGGAGCCAGCACTGCTCAGCTGCTTGAAGCACTTGACTGTCAGTTGCTTGGTGTTCCCATCTCCAGCTCCTCGTCTTCCTCCTCCGACCAGCTCAAGCTGTCATCCGAGTCCTCCCCCTGCACTGCCCTGGGCTCCTCTGCATTGGCAGCCTCCCTCTGCTCGCCATGGGAGTATGACCTGCTTTGGGGAAGCTCCAGCCTGGCCCAGGAGCCAGGGCTGGCTTTGCAAAGCATGATCTCCACCTTAGTAGGGACCATGCTCACAAAGCTCTTCTCTATTTCAATGACCTAGAGAGAGGGAAAGGTGCAGTGAGCTGGGCAGGGGAGGGTGGGCAGCACACACTCATCCTTCCCCTTACTGGCAGAGTCCTGCCAGAGAAGAGAGGAGAAGTCTCCTCTCCTCATGAGCCAGGAGACAGAACAGGATGAAACCTGGGCTCCAGCTGAGCTTCACAGTGTTACATCTAAGCAGCATTGCAGTGCGGGTACAGAGCTCAGCTAGCCGCAGCCACGTGCATGGCTGCGGTACAGCCCTCTCCCCACGGCAGCAAGCTGCACTGAGACACAGGCGTACCGACAGTCCATGCTCTGCTGCCCACCAGTGCAGACAGCACATGCCAGAAATAAAGGCAAGAAATGCACATGCAAATTCCTGAGTCTCACTGCTCCTCCGCAGCCAGCAAGCAGCTGAGAAATCAGAGCGAGTCTCTCCCCTCACACCGCTGCCTGCCCACAGGCACAGCAGGATTGGAGGAGGAGACAGGAACCTGCTGGACCAAATACCCTTTGGGGCAGTCTGGGACCAAACCCAGAACACCTACAGAGCTGGCAGTGACGTCCAGCTCTGCTCTTAGTCCAGGATCGACTGGTGTAGCCACCAGAAGCCTCCAAAACAGCCCTCCTCACAACCCCTAAGGCATTTCCTAGCAGAGATGACTGTAAATGCCGGTATCTGGCCGACCTGGCTCCCAGACGATCCCAACAAGAACAAGGCAGCACTGTGGCAGCATTTAAAAGAGAGCAGCCAGGGTGCCTCAGGTAGTGCAGGGCAGTCAGATGGGCACCGAGCCCAGGCACCGTACTGGCATTGCTCCCATGGGGTGCTACCACTATGGGATCAATAGAGAAAAACCTAATTTCCCCATCAGCCTTTGCTGCTATAGAAAACTGGAGCTCTGGAGATAAACGGGTCCTCTCTGCTGCGACAGCCATGGTGGACCTGTGTTCTCTGCAATGCTTGAAGAGCTGGCAATGAATCACACCAAGGGAGGGACTATGAAATGACTGTTTGTTCCACAGATGTGCCTGCCAGGGATGAGACAACGTCCCAGGTGCCACAGCATTTCTATGCAATAATCCAGTCGAAGTCTGCCTCCTGCTCCATGCATAGGAAGGACTGTGCAGAAATTGCAGCAACAACCATTTTGCTGCCTTTTCCAAAGTCTGAGAATCCTGACTCCGCAGAGGGTCATTTTCCTTACTGGGAGCCTGTGTTTGGGGCTGCAAACGCTTCTCCCAGAGCACAGGCTGCCTCGCAGCATTGCAGCCCAGCCCAGCCCAGACTACTGGAACAGGGAAATCAAAGTAAACAGGATCTTACCCCCCAGAGATCCAGTTCTGCCTGGAAAATCTTACTCCCTTCAAAGATGATATGAACTTCAAGCTGAAAGATCAACAGAAAATTATCTGAGTGGGTAGCACAGCACTGCCAGAGCTCTTCCCCCAGACAGTGCAGCTGCCTTCCAGCACTGCAATGTATCGCAAGTCCTGGCTCCAGTTAACGGTCTGGTGATCCCCTTGGCACCTGGGAGCATTTCACCCCCTTCAGAGCATGCCGAGATCACCTCTGCCACCAGTCAAAGAATTAATGGCCCGCGAAGCTACCCGCTGAGGCTGAAAGCCACTGAGCCAGAGTGGCTGGGCAGATGCTGCTGCAGCAGTGAAGCCGCCGGGCTCTCAGCTCGGGGACAGCAGGTCAGCACTGCCAACCCCAGCTGCAGCAACAGACCAAGCAGGCCATCAAAGAGTGCCAGGCACCCGGCCAGCTCCTGGCTGTTGGCTCATCAAAATCAGGTGCCATGAAAGCACGCATCCACAGCCCAGCTTTGCCGGCCCCACTTACCACAGTGTGGTTGGCTTTCACACTGCTAAGGGCAGGCAGGGGGTTCTTGGCATAGACCGTCACCACCACCTGGCTGCTGGTTTGGTGCCAGTCCTGCCGGCATGACACCGCCTTCTTGTCCTGCCAGGGAGAGGAACCCATCACGGCACAGCATCTAGCCCAAGCACACCCCGAACAGAGGGGATGTCTGTGCTGGAGGATGTTCCTTTGCACATCTCCTTCACAGAGTGCCAGCTGAGGTCGGCATCAGCTAAGCAAGATCAAAACTTGCCTTTCATGCAGGTTTTTGAGGGGAGGTTGTTCATGAGAAGGTGGGCAGCCCCTGCCAGGCTGTCCCATGCAACACAAAGCACCTGTGCTGTGCTTGGGGTTGCTCCAGAAGGATGCGTTAAGACCAGATACATCCCCTTCTTGTTCCAGAGTCACTCTGCTGTGCCCAAGCTCATAGGTGCTGTGCACAGTCAGGAAACTTGGTCTAGAGGACAGTGCAGGGGCTGTTGCTAGACATGGATCATGCCACCATGCTAAATTTGGGAGACAGATGAGCCCCAACTGGCCACATTTCACCCTTCTCCCACAGGACCCCCACCTCATCCATGCCCCAGGCAGCTTTGGCCCCACCAGGCATTTCTGAGCATCACCAGGAGACAGACTTCCTGCAGCCCTCAGCATTGCCAGCCAAAGAAATGCCCCAGCAGGAATCCCAGTCCCAAACTCAGGTGGCAATTAACACAAAGCATCTGCATCACAACATCACAGTCCATTCACTGCAGCCTCCTTTACATCTACTAGATGTTTTCTGCTCCAGGACAAAGAACAGACTGAGCTCAGAGGGGGTTGCTCAGAGCACTGCTGACTCAGAGGAACATGACGCACTTTCAGGGATATCCTGGGCTGCTTTGGTGCAACTTTCCCAGCTCAAGCCTGTTTCCAGTCAAGAGCTTTCCTGGGGAAACTTACACACACACACACACACAATATTGGGAATTGGGATCTTCTCTGCATTATCCTGCCACACCATCATGTTGCTATGTGGATGAGGTCCCTCCTGGGAAGCAGTTGCAGAGGGAAAGCTTCATTAAAACCAAATTCAGTCATCTGTCAAAACTTTTGGGGTTTTTTTTGCATGGCTTTTCCCATGCTCAGCTGGCTGTCCCTGTACAGCAGCCTACAGTGCTGGCTACACCATGCCCAGGGCCAGCTCCTGCCTCATTCAGCTCATTGCACATCTGCCCATTGGGTGTAAGAGCTGACACTTTTTGTGAATGCAGGAGCAGCATTTTAAACAGCAGATGGGTGAAGATTAGGCGTTCAAACTCTGCATGGTCATCTGTTGGCAATTATGAAAATTAA